AGGAGATCAAGACCATCCTGGCTAACACGGTGAAACCCCGTCTCTACTAAAAATACAAAAAAAAAAAATTAGCCGGGTGTGGTGGGCGCCTGTGGTCCCAGCTACACGGGAGGCTGAGGCAGGAGAATGACGTGAACCCGGGAGGCAGAACTTGCAGTGAGCTGAGATCCGGCCACTGCACTCCAGCCTGGGCAACAGAGCGAGACTCCGTTTCAAAAAAAAAAAAGGCACCTATTACGGCCCAGCACTGTCCTAAATGCTACAAACACAGTAGTGAATAAGACATAGTCTCTGTTCTCAGGGCACTTAGTCTTATGAGAATCAGACAAGTAAATAGGCAATTATAACAGCATAAGTATCAGACAGAAGCACAGAAGAAGGGCACTCAAGGTGGCAGGGGTGAGATCCTAAAGGAAGTGACATTTAAACTGAGATGTGAAGGACAAAAAGGAAGGCCGGCACCAGTGTATGCAAAGGTCTAGACGCTAGAATGAGGTCAGTTCAGAGAGCTATTTAAGAGGCTGAATCCAGGTGAGAAATGAAGTTTCCTTCACCCAGAGGTCGTTGGCATTCAAAATATGGTGGTGAGAAGGAAGTAAAGGGATTGGCTTCATAAATTCCTGAATAAGAGGCACTCTGAGAATCGATTTACACAACAAAGAAAACAGTAAAAAGGAAGAATCAGCTCAAAATACATCATCCTTCACCTTGCAGCTCCATAGTTTACTAAAATGTGACCCGCATCCAGAAAATTTGAGGACTTCTACCAAAGTACAAAGGTATAATCTTCAGAGATAACACGTTTCAGCATGCTGACTGCCACGCAATGCAAGATAAAGTACACTATCCTAAGATATATGGCTCCCGAGTTCATGGAGTGGGGAGTAATTCGTCTGACAGATACTGTCTGCTTCTCAAAATCACATGTGCCAAACAAATAGGAAAGGTCATCAGAGGGCCAGCGCAGAGTTCCCAGGGAAAGCCCAAGTCCCGAGCCCCCAATTCTCCTGAAATCTAATTAGATGACAGACACGCGCCTACTTCAATGGCAGGGTAGAGAGTCATTTGTTGAAGAAAAAGAAGGGCCCTGAGGGTGTGTTAAATAGACAGGACATGACTCAGAAGGAGGAGAGTGAGTCTTAAATACAGGGCAAAGGAAAGCTAGTCAATCAAAGCTTGGGCACACCTCTGCCTCAAGGCTACACTGGGCCTCCTGCCTGGCTAAAGGGAGAGACTGAGGACCGCTGCCAGGGCCTTCAAACAACACAGGCTTCTTCAGCAGCACATTTGTTTTCCATCTTCCCCTCTAGCTGAGGGGAGGGAGCTATTTAAAATGCTACTTTTTTTTTTTTTTCTGTGTAGTTTGCTACTTCCTATTTTTACTATTTATTGTTTTAAATTTTATTAATTTTATTCAGGAAAGATATTAAGTTTTTTTTGGGGGGGGGAGTGATATCTTGCTTTTTAAAAAAAAAAATTATATCCAGACTATGAATCTAATATTTACTATGGCTAATCAACTGCTCATGTCAGTAATCAAAGTTAGAAATGAGCCTTATATGTACATCTACATTAATAAACACACACACCCCTTTAAGGTGTGCTCAGTGTAGATTCTAATGTCAGTCTGCCCACTCAACCCAGGCCCAAGGTCGCATCACATCACCAAGTTGAATCATGAAGACAGCCCAGATTTGGCTGACATGGCACAGAAGCTCCCTCCCCACAGCCCATGCACCAGTTACTAGTTCTGAGAGGAAAGAGGGTTGTGATGAAAAACTCAGCCCCTAAACATTTTTTTAAATAATCAAAAAAGTTTCTACTACAATATGGATATACATTTAACCATCTTGACAAACAAACATGAACCAGGATAGAGTCAAACAAACAAGAGACACAAATTGCCACTAGGCATATTTAAGTTAACTTGATATCAACCTAAAGAAAAAAAAGCTCAACCGCTGAAGCTAGATTGCCTAGGTTCAAATCCCGGCTCTGTCACTTATTAGCTGGGTGATCTTAAGCAAATTACTTAACCACTCTGCCTCCATTTTCTCATCTGTAAGACAGGGATAATAAGTTATCTACTTCATATGATTATGAAAATTAAATTAATTGGCCAGGCACGATGGTTCATGCCTGTAATCCCAGCACTTTGGGAGGCAGAGGTGGGCAGATCACCTGAGGTCAGGAGTTCGACACCAGCATGACCAATGCGGTGAAAACCCCATCTCTACTAAAAATACAAAAATTAGCCAGACATGGTTGTGGGCACCTGTAATCCCAGCTACCTGGGAGGCTGAGGCAGGAGAATCACTTCAATCTGGGAGGCGGCAGTTGCAGTGAGGAGAGCACCATTGCACCCCAACGTGGGCGACAAGAACGAGACTTCGTCTCAAAAAAAAAAAGTCAAAAATTAAATCAGTTAATACATGAAAAGCCCTTACAACAATCCTAGGCACAGAATGTGCTCAATAAGCACCATTATTGTTATTATCATCATCATTACTCAACTGCAAAGATAATTGTATAGCCTCACAGCTTCAAACAAGAAATCACTGGCATTTTAACATCGCTTTAAATAGCCTAATGAGGATATTCTCACAACAAAAAAATCTGTATTATCCAAAAGCTCTGCTTCATCTCTTTAACATCAGGCTAGCAGCCCAAACCAATGTAGATGCTATACAGACAGCAGGTTCAACCATGAAGCAGAAATTAGTGCTGAGATCTGACTAGTATAACTAAAACATACTGTCAGGCACTGAGTAAGCATATTAATGTATTAACTAATTTACCCTCGAAACAACCCTATGCGATAGATACTCTTACTACCCACATTTGATTGATGAGAAAACTGAGGGCCGGGCGCGGTGGCTCAAGCCTGTAATCCCAGCACTTTGGGAGGCCGAGACGGGCGGATCACGAGGTCAGGAGATCGAGACCATCCTGGCTAACATGGTGAAACCCCGTCTCTACTAAAAATACAAAAAAAAAAAACTAGCCGGGCGAGGTGGCAGGCGCCTGTGGTCCCAGCTACTCGGGAGGCTGAGGCAGGAGAATGGCGTGAACCTGGGAGGCGGAGCTTGCAGTGAGCTGAGATCCGGCCACTGCACTCCAGTCTGGGCGACAGAGCGAGACTCCGTCTCAAAAAAAAAAAAAAAAAAAAAAAGAAAACTGAGGCATATAAAGCTATGCAATTAATAAAGCTCACAGAGCTACAAATGGCAAAGTCAGTGCCTTTTTTGTTGTTGTTGTTGTTGGAGTGGAGTCTCGCTCTGTCTTCTGGCTGGAGTGCAGTGGTGCAATCTCAGCTCACTGCAACCTCCACCGCTCGGGTTCAAGCGATTCTTCTGCCTCAGCCTCCTGAGTAGCTGGGACTACAGACGCACACCACCACACCCAGCTAATTTTTGTATTTTTAGCAGAGATGGGGTTTCACCTTTTTGGCCAGGATGGTCTCGATCTCTTGACCCCGTGATCCGCCTGCCTCAGACTCCCAAAATGCTAAAATTACAGGAGTGAGCCACTGCACCCGGCCAGTGCTTTCTGTTTTTGTTGTTTCTTGGAGACTGCATCTCTTACGTTGCCCAGGCTGGAGTACAATGGGTATTCACAGGTGCCATCATAGTGCACTGCAGTCTCAAACTCCTGGCCTCAAATGCTCCTCCCAGCTCAGTCTCCCAAGTAGCTAGGACTACAGGTATGTGCCACCATGCCAGGCTCAGAGTCAGTGCTATGAACCGTTATGTGTGTTCACCACACTACCCTTGGGTGACTACAATTATAATTTTCAAGGGGGCACAAATTGTCCTCAGGAAAAGGAGGTTCTCAACCGTCAGAAATGGAGTCACAGCTACATATCATCAGTTCTTCAGATACCTAAAGGTACTGAAGCTGACCTAGTAACAGCGACTTGGGTTGTTCTGTCTGGAGTAAGCCTTTGGTTGGGGGTATAAGTAGAGAGCAGACAGCTAATGAAGAGTGCTAGATCAAACCAGACCTCCCAGTCCACCCTGAAGCAATGCTGATCCTGAAGCAGGCTTCAGTAAGAAGGCTACTCCCAACTCTGGCTAGGGCATAACACTCACCAAAGGAAGTGAAGGCCACATTCACTGTGTTCTCTGGCTCCAGTCCCCTTCCTTTCCCTCCAACACCAAATCCACTACCTCTCAGGCCATGCTTAGTTTGGCTAGGGAAACTGATTTTTTCAAAAGTGGTCTGATGGGAAGATTACAGAGGAGAGAAAAAAACTACCAGAAAAGAGCAAGTTCCATGATCCTTTCTTTCCATCACCACACTTGTCCAACTGTAAAGCAGCTCTCAAATATTAGGGATCTCAAGGATAGGGAGTGAGGTGCTAAACATTACCAGAGCTTTACATCAGTCTGCTTGATCTCTTACCAGAAACTGATCTACATTTTTTCTCCATAATCCCAACCTGCCTTTCCCTCACCTCTGATACCCCCACCAAAATCCACATCCCCAGAGGAACACTAATGAGCCCTTCTTACCAAAAGAGCAAAAGTAGACACGAAGCGAGAATGAATTCAGGAGTTGGTGACAGCAAGTACCTAAATGGTCAGTGAACGCGATCAGAATTTGTTTTCTCATGACTCCCCACCATCTGTCACCCACAAATCTCCACTTCCAGGCAGGACTCCAAAGTGAAAATGTGATGGGGAAATTGAAGCAGAAACAATGAGCATGTAGGAAACTGCTTGTGACAGGGATGTGTTAAAATCCTTCAGCCTGGTCTCTAGGCCTCTGTCCAGGTTTGCTTGCATAGGTGAAGGCACACAAGGCTTAATTCTACACCAACTCTCAAAAGTCAGCCTGCAATCTACGCCAAACACTAACTTAAGGACCTCAGACAAAGAACAACCTCTATAGAAGAGAGCCCTTCTCAGACCAAATGATTCTTGGCATCACTCTAAGCCCATGCATCCTCCTCCCAGGGAGCATGCCAGCCAGAAACCTGTCACTGGAAGCCACCTTACCCGCTCTGGGGCTGGGCTGGGGCAAGTCGCTATCTCTTCTTCTTTCCAAGTAGGCAATGTAATTTCTTCCAGTCCCTGGGGCACCTGAATCTTCTGCTGAAATTGGGGCAGATGCTGCTACAGGAGCTGTGGAAAGGCTGATCTAAGCCTAGAAGAGTGTCATTTGACTGGCTTTAGTTCCCTCCTTAGCAGATCTGCCTGGCATCCTCCAGATCTCTCTTCCTCACTATCCCACTCTACTAGAAAGATCCCTTTCCCCTCTGGCCGGTCAGATACAGTCGGGCCTCTATCCCACGCTCCAGGCTTCTTTATTCGCGGCTACAGAAATTCTCCTCCAACTTGTGACTCTGCTTCTCCACGACCCGCACAACACCTACTTCGGGCTGCCCCACCCCAAATCTCCCTCCCCTAGGGCTGCCACTGAACCCTAGGGCCCCGGTCCGCCCCAACTCCTTTTTTCCTCTCCGCCTCGGACCTTACTCCATTCCATATCCTCTTTTCAACCCTGGAGCCAGTACCCCCTTCGCCCCTACTACAGACTAGGGCCCCCGCAATCCCCCCCAACTCTGGCTTCCCCGCCCGACTACTCCAACCCCACAACAAACTTTCCGCCGCTGCCAGCTGCGTTCAGGTCGCCATCTTGCCGCGGGGCAGGCCGGGTAGTGGCCAGGGCCGCGGGAATCCCCACGCACTTGGCGTCCTGCGTCATCGGAGGCGGGGCCACGGGGGCAGGGCCTGGGGTTGGGGAAGTGGCACACTACGTGATGGCGAAAGATGGGGCTCTCTTGAAAGCAGGGATTGGAGGCTTGGCCGCAGAAGGAAGGACGTATCAGGAGCCGGGCAATAGCAGGAAGTGGGGAAAGACTCTAATACTGAAAGAAAGGAAGGAAAAAAAAAGAATAGGGGAACACAGCTCAAAGATACAGTGGGGCCGGGCGCGGTGGCTCAGGCCTGTAATCCCAGCACTTTGGGAGGCCGAGGCGGGCAGATCACGAGGTCAGAAGATTGAGACCATCCTGGCTAACACGGTGAAACCCCGTCTCTACTAAAAAAATACAAAAAATTAGCCGGGCGTGGTGGCGGGCTCCTGTAGTCACAGCTACTCGGGAGGCTGAGGCGGGCGTGAACCCGGGAGGCGGAGCTTGCAGTGAGCAGAAATGTGCCACAGAGCGAGACTCCGTCTCAAAAAAAAAAAAAAGATACAGTGGGAGAGAGAATAGTGCTACTGCTTCCCCGTAATCCAAAGAATAAAACCAGCTTTTCAGTTTGGCATTCAAACATCTGCATGATCCAGCCTCTTCCACCTTCATCAGCCTCATTTTTTGCCTCTCCTGGGGACTTCAGATTCCCAAATTGTCCTTTGTTTTCAGGACATCGGACCTTAAGATGTCTAATCTCTCTCCTCCTCCCTTGCATCATCAATTCCTCCTACTGCTTCAGATCGTCAGTTCAAATGCCACCTCCTGCAGAAAGCCTTCCCTTTAGTGCTCCTTTTGCTGGGCATCACTAGCAACTTGTACATAGCTTTATTGTAGCTGTCCTGTGCAGTGTAATTATTTATTTACATGTTATATCACTTTCGCCCTGATGCTTCTTCAGGGCAAAAACTATGTTTGATTTCATCTTCATACTCCCTAGCAGGTGCTTGGTACACAGTAATTGCCTAATGAATAAATGGCATGTTTTCCTCCAATGCACTAAGCATATTTCTGCCTCAGGGTCTCTTAAGTTTGCTGTTCCCCATACCTGGAATGTTCTTCCTCCAAATATTGACTCTCATTTGTGTCTTTGCTCAAGTGTCATCACTTTAGAGAAGCCTTCCTTGGCCACTCAATCTAAATCAGCATCCCTATTCTCCTTTACCCTGCTTTAATGTTTTCATTCATAGTACTTATCATTATCTGACATTATATTAAATATTTATTTGTTTATTGACTGTCTCCCCACTACAAAGCAAACTCCAGAGGTCTGGGATATTTTCTTGTTCATCACAGCATCCCCAGTGTCTAAAACAATGCCTGGCGTGGTAGGTATTCAATAAATTTTTAAATTCTGTTTGTTTAATTAATTAATTTTTTTTTGAGACAGGGTCTCAATCTGTTGCTGATGCTAGAGTGTAGTGGCACAATCTCGGCTCACTGCAACCTCTGCCTCCCGGGTTCAAGTGATTCTCCCACCTCAGTTTCCTGTGTAGCTGGGATTACAGGCGCATGCCACCACACCCAGCTAACTTTTTGTATTTTTAGTAGAGATGGGGGTTCTACCATGTTGGCCAGGCTGGTCTTGAACTCCTGAGCTCAAGTGATCTGCCTGCCTCGGCCTTCCAAAGTGCTGAGATTACAGGCATGAGCCACTGTGCCCAGCCAATAAATATTTATTGAATGAATAAATGGTATGTAGGTAAGTGATTGACAGATTTTGGAATATACTGGTGGAGAAGAAGGGTTGAAAATACTATAAAATAAGAAAATACATAGGTGGAAGTTACATGACCTTAAGGCTCCACTTAGCCCTAATCAGGAATAGTAGCAAAGACAAGCCCCAGACTCAGCGAAGGGGAGAGCGAGATGAGAATCAGGTGGAATTCTGGAGCTGGGTCCTCAGGCAGCACAGCCATCCTAGGAAAGTCCCAGGGCACCAAGCAGGGCACTTAGAGGAAATGAGGCAGGCTGGAGGCCAGGAGTCTCCTCAGACCTAAAGACCTCATCCACCCCGAGCCCAGGCCTCTCTTGGCCAGATGGTTCCGGAGAAGCATCTGTCCCTCCATAAATTATCCAGGGCTCCCTCCAGCCTATCCTCTCTGGTGACAGCCGGAACAATTGTCCAGGAATTCCATCTGCTCCCCTGTCCCTCTCCCCTCCACAGCTCATCAACATTTCAGAGCAGCAAGGTATCCCATTTCCCTGGGCCTAGGGATGGAGCTGGGTCTGCCCCTTGGTGAAGCTGATCTCAAGTACCAACCCCCCATCAACGCACACACACAAAAACCTCAGCAGAGGCTCCCAGATCCCCAGAGGGAGAGGTCAGCCATTTTTATTTCCCATCCCATCCATGCCTTTCTATCCTATACATCTTTTTAAAAATTAATTTAATAAAATTACTCTAAATAAACCAACCTGGCCAACATAGTGAAACCCCTTCTCTACCAAAAACACAAAAATTAGTTGGGCATGGTGGCACGCACCTGTAGTCCCAGCTACTCAGGAGGCTGAGGCAAGAGAATTGCTCGAACCCAGGAGGGGAGGTTGTGGTGAGCCAAGATCGTGCCACTGTGCTCCAGCCTGGGTGACAGAGCAAGACTCCATCTCAAAAACATATATATATATGAGACTTCTGCTGTTTACCAAAAGGTATGTGACTGAAGGAAGAAATGTAAGAGGCTGGTTTGCTTTTCTAAATAGGTATAATTCCTAGATATCGTTTCAGCCTTTCTAGAAATTGTTTTGGGGTTCACAAGGGGAGAAAGGTTGTTGTACTTTCAATTATAGATTTGAAAAGCAATTCAAGTTTATATTCTGAAACAAAGGAAGTATCAGTTAACATAAACATACCTTTGAAAAGCATGGGAATCACAGTCCTCTAGAGTTTTTAATTATTATTATTATTATTTTTTAAGATGGAGTTTCACTCTTGTTGCCCAGGCTGGAGTGCAATGGCATGATCTCGACTCATTGCAACCTCCACCTCCTGGGTTCAAGTGATTCTCCTGCCTCAGGCTCCCAAGTACCTGAGATTACAGGTGCCCACAACCACGCCCAGATAGTTTTTATATTTTAGTAGAGACAGGTTTTCACCATGTTGGTCAGGCTGGTCTGAAACTCCTGACCTCAGGTGATCTACCTGCCTCAGCCTCTCAAAGTGCCGGGATTACAGGCATGAGCCACCACGCCCGGCCTGTTATTATTACTATTATTTGAAACAGAATCTCGCTCTGTCATCCAGGCTGGAGTGCAGTGGCGCATTCTCGGCTCATTGCAACCTCCACGTCCCAGGTTCAAGCAATTCTCTGCCTCAGCCTCCCGAGTAGCTGGGATTACAGGTGCCCACCACCATGCCCAGCTAATTTTTGTATTTTTAGTAGAGATGGGGTTTCACCATCTTGACCAGGCTGGTCTTGAACTCCTGACCTTGTGATCCACCTGCCTCAGCCTCCCAAAATGCTGGGATTACAGGCGTGAGCCACCATGCCCGGCCTATTATTATTTTTAATATGGAAGGCTTTACAAATTCATGTGTCATCCTTGCAAAGGGGCCATGCTAATCTTCCCTGAATCATTCCAGTTTTAGTATATGTGCTGCCAAAGCAAGCACAAGTTTTCAACTTTTAACATGTGAAAGATAAAGTTATCTTCATTGTAGCAAGGCTGGTTTACTTCATCATTCCCCCCTCTGTGGATGGACAAACTCACTTGTATACCTAAATATTTCTTAGACCACAATTACATAGTTGTTCACTATCTCTGTGAGAGAACCATGAGGAAAGTGGTAAAAATTAGGGGTCCCTTCTAGCTTTCAGGGTCTTAAGAAATAGCTGCAAGTTGCAGAAGAGTCAGTCTCACTTCATTTTGATGACAATTTTCATATGTTTGGTGTCTATAGGGCTGCAGGTATGCAGGGCCCACTGCACAAACATGGTCAAGCATTTCTCAAGGCATAATCCACCTGGGTCCAAGGCAGTCCTTTCTGATGATTTAATTTATGTGAATTGGTCACCCTGCTGGGACAGACATGCTTGGTGTGGAGTCCGGGGTTGGCATGACACACTCTACATAGGCAAAAGGGGTCTTGGAATAGAAGCAGTGGACAAAGATAGCAATTTGAGCTTCAGGTATTGAAGGAAATTGCTGGGAAAGAGGAGTCGAAACCTTACTGGGCTCAGCCCCACAGTCGTGTGACCTGTTCATTATGACAGCTAGAAAGGCCTTAGGCCATATGCAGTCTTTTTGGTTGCCACTGATATTATCTACTAACAATGTGAAGCCATGAGGCTAACTATGTTCCTATTTGTGACTCTGATTTTGTGATGCTGAACCGTGTATACATGGTTGTGATAACAATGATTTCGAAGCTTCAAGAGGTGATAACTTAATCTACTTCCCTGGGTTTAAGTTATACACATTTCCTAATTCTTCAGTCTATTTTTTTTTTTTTTTTTTTTTTTTGAGACGTAGTCTCGCTCTGCCACCCAGGCTGGAGTGCAGTGGCCGGATCTCAGCTCACTGAAAGTTCCGCCTCCTGGGTTTACACCATTCTCCTGCCTCAGCCTCCCAAGTAGCTGGGACTACAGGCGTCCGCCACGTCGCCCGGCTAGTTTTTTGTATTTTTTAGTAGAGACAGGGTTTCACCGTGTTAGCCAGGATGGTCTCGATCTCCTGTCGTGATCTGCCCGTCTCGGCCTCCCAAAGTGCTGGGATTACAGGTGTGAGCCACTGCACCCCGCCTGCTTGACATTTTGGATAGGAGCTGCATTACTGCACACTCATCCTATCAGAGGGCAAAGCCTCCTATCACTTTTCAACTCACCCTAAAGTCCACTATCGG